TGAGCTTGGTGTCATCTGCAAACTTGCTGAGGGTGCGCTCGATCCTGCTGTCTATGTCATTGATGAAGATATTAAACATCACTGGTCCCAGTACAGACCCCTGAGGGACACTAGATGTTACTGTTGCTTGTGCCAGAAGGTCTGAACTTTTTCCGAAATGTGAGGTGACTTCTTTGCTATGTAAACAATAAAATAATAAATAACTTGGATTTTTATGCTATTAGAAATGGTTTGTTCTCAGCCTTCATTACAGTGTTGAGAAACTACATGCTTGCACCGCTTAGTGTTCTGACTACTTTCTTTTTAGAAAAGTCTGTAGCCCTGTTTTTAGATTTCCCATTACGGTGCAGGGGTATGTTTTGTATTTATTTTTAAAGCTTATTTCACTAATTCAACAGTTATGTGTGTTAGCAATCCTAGGTTAAATTCTTGACCAATAAGTTTGGGTGTCTTTCCAGCAGTGGGAGATATATTCATGTTTGTGTGTGAATGCTGTTTATGCCTGAGGAATGTATGATTATAGAAGGAAATTCAGGGAACTGTTGTCTAGTTATTTGTGCAGTAGATTCCTATAAAAATGTGCATGCTTGAGGAAAATTATTAAAATCTTAATAAGTTGTGGAGAAATGACTTGTGTTTTGAACTTGTTTTTTCTGACCTCTAAGCTCTCTTCACTTCTTGAGAAATTATGTGGGGGAAGGAGAATATCTCTCATTAGAGCCTGCTAAGGGCCTTATGAGAAGGAGTAATAGAGGAGGTAAAATTGGTCAACCTGTTCTGAGACTCAAAGGTGTCCTGGTCTTTCCTAAGAACATATGAACTATTGGCATATATTTCTTTATTTTTAGAACTAAAACCTCAGTAATTATTCTCCCTGGTGACCAATGATAGAACCCGAGGGAACGGCAGGAAGATATGCCAGGGGAGGTTTAGGTTGGACATTAGGAAAAGGTTCTTCACCCAGAGGGTGGTAGAGCACTGGAACAGGCTCCCCCAGGAGGTAGTCACGGCGCCAAGCCTGACAACATTCAAGAAGCATTTGGACAATGCCCTCAGACATATGGGGTGAATTTTGGGGTTGTCCTATGCAGGGTCAGGAGTTGGACTCGATGATCCTTGTGGGTCCCTTCTAACTCAGGACATTCTATGATTCTATGATTATTTCTTCATTAAATGATTAAGGATAATGGTCAGCAATACAGGGCAAGTGCAGATGGACGTGGCTGGCATTATGATGATTGTTACTGTTGCTGTTGGGTTTCAGTAGCGTGGAGTGATTAACAAAACACAGCATTCAGGTAGAAGCTTTTTGGGGTTGCAGCTCTGAAAATTGTAAGAAATGCCACCAGATATCATCTTTTGAATCAAGTTTCAAAATTAAGACATCAGTTTTCTGTTACTCAGTCACACTTAGTGGTTTCATTCTGTATTTAGTAAGGCAGAAACTAGACTGAACTGAAAAGACCAGGTGGGGTGGGTCAAACTTGGCTCACTGCCAGGTGCCTACCAAGCTGCTCCATCTCACCTCCCTCCCCAGCAACAGGATGGGTAGATAATATGGTGAAAAGCTCATGGGTCAAGATAAGGACAGGGACATTACTCACCAATTACCATCACAGGCAAAACAGACTCAACTTGCAGAAATTAGTTTAATTTATTGCCAATTAAACAGAGTAGGACAATGAGAAATAAGAACAAATCTAAAAATGTCTTTCCCCCCCATATGCCTCCCTTCTTCCAAGGCTCAACTTCACTCCCAACTCCTCCTCAAGAAGGGTAAAAGTGCAAAAACTTGTGGGTTGAGATAAAGACAGTTTATCAGGGAAAGTGAAAGCTGTCTACGCAAGCAAAGCAAAATAAGGAATTCATTCACTCCTTTCCATTGGCAGGCAGATGTTTAGCCATCTCCAGGAAAGCAGGGCTTCATCATGCATAATGGTTACTTAGGAAGACAAACACCATAATTCTGAACATCCCCCCTTCTTTCTTCCCTGTGGTTTTTATTGCTGAGCACAATGGCATATGGTATGGAATATCCCTTTGGTAAGTTGGGGTCAGCTGTCCCAGCTGCGTCCCCTCCCAACTTCTTGTACATCCCCAATCTATCTGCTGTTGGGGCAGTGTGAGAGACAGAAAAGGTCTTGATGCTGTGTGAGAGCTGTTCACTAATAGCTAAAACATTGGTGTGTTATCAGTGCTCTTTTGGTCACAAAGCCAAAGCATAGCACTATATGGGCTACTATGAAGAAATTTAACTCTATCCCAGCCAAAACCAGTATACTCGTATAAATAGGGAGGTGGTGGTAATAAGAGAACAGATGTAGAAACTGTCGAGTCAGCTGTGATGTTTGGAGCCTAACTGGATTTTAAGGGATGTGAAAAGCGTGGCCACGTCCTCCAGCCCAGGACTCCCTTCTGCTCAGCTGCTGAAGCCCAGCCCGGGGACCTTGGGCCTCTGCCTAGGCTGAGGGATGCAGCTGCCACTTTCCCGTTTGCAGGTTCAACCAGTAGCAAAGCTGAGCATGTATTCCAGAGACCTGTACACACACAGAGGACACTGACATGGTCTGTCACACAGATGACCACAGACACGGTGCTGCCTTCAACAGCACCTACATGTAGGACTTGCATAAAACATAAGTATAGGCAGCCAAGTCCCCTTCCTCCTCTTCAGCTGGTAGAGATAGAAGGTCACTAGTGAAGGTACACACGTGATACTCTCTAGATTCACAAACACGTGCATATTCACTGTGTTCCCTTGAGTACCGGCATGGCCCCCTTTGTCTGTCCAGTACCCCTGCCTGGATCCCAGGCTCTCTTACCTGCTTCACAGGTCTACTTGCCAGCTAGTCCAGCTTGATGCTCACTAGCAAATACACATGCACTCATCCCACAGGCACTCCACATTCGCAAGTCCCCCTGGGCATACCAGCACAGACCCTTGCCTGCTTCTTACTCCTGCCTAGACTTGAGGCTCCTCCCTGCTCATTAGCTAGTCCAGCTTGAAGTTTGCTAGCGAATACACACGCACACCAGGTTTGGGGAAGATGCAGACACCCACCCCCCCTTTCCCCCACCAGCTGGCACCAGGCACCACGTGGGCTGTGCCTGGTGGTCCTGCCCCAGCCACCAGTGCTGGGCCCCTCACTCACACTGGTCCCCCCCATTTGCTGTTTTTTGGGACACATACCATTCCCAACCCAGTGGCTGGAGGCAGAGACCATGACTCGCTCCAGTAGCTGATGTTAAGACCCCACTCAGTCCAGTAGCTGACACCACAGGCCAGGGGTGCCTGTGCCCCTGGTCTGACTGGAGTAGCTGACACCAAATCCACTCGTGACAGCCCCCCCTAGTAGCTAGCACTCCAGGCACAAAGTTTGTAGTACCCACCCTAGGTCTAGAGAGCTATGGCCCCTCCAACTACTGATGCTTGTTCCAGTAGCTGATGCCACAGGGGCACCTACAGCCCCAGTCTGACTCCAGTAGCTGGCACCAAATTTCATGCACACATACACAGGTCTCACCAGTAGCTGGCATTTAGTCCTTGCAGCATACACACACACACATGGGGTAGAGAGTGAGATTATGCAGAGAGATTGTTAAGATTTTATAAGACAGGACAGACTGCGGTCATCAGGCTCGGGGCTCAGCCAGACAAACATAGTGACCAGCTCTGTTTTACATGCGACCAGCCTGCTTTATACCCCTTTCTGTCTACCCTCCCCTTTGTTCCTCCCTGCTCTCTCTTACCCCTGTATGTCTCTTCATTGGTTTGTATGGTTCTATTGATTCCTTCACCCCTCCCAGTCTGGTGCCTGGGGTCTCCCCCTTAGTTTACAGTCTTATCAGTTGCAAAGTCCAGGTTGATCTCCCTGGAAGAGTAGTTAAGACCTAACATACTGTGTGGAAGTTTCTCCTTTCTGGCTTATTAACCTGTGGTCTGTCAAACTTTAAGGCTGGCCTGCAAAACTGTTGCAAAGGACTTTTAAAGCACACTTCTCTCAGGTGGATGCAGTCATTGGGAGGAAAAATAAAAATAATAAATAAAGGTTGCTATGGCAGTAAGTGTCCCTAGGCTTTTTTTAAATGTGTGTTTAGGCTTAAGGAAAAAACAAAACTATAATGCCATCTCCCAAAATACTTGGTAGGAATAAGGAGTTTTTCTTCTCTTCTCTGCCAAATCTCTATTTGCATGTTACTTCAGTGAGTGGTCTCAGTGATGATACTTTAATGAATATTCGCATCTGGTTTCATTCTCCTTCCCACATTTCTCTGGTGAGATGAATGAGAAGTTGCTTGGGGATTCAAAGAGCAGTAAATGAACTTGATAATGTCATATGCAGGTACATATAAGCAGTAATCCTGTGTAACCAGACCTACTGTCTGTGCTGGAATTGACATATAAAGACAAGTTTGAAAGCCGAAACATTGCAGATAGGATTTGAAAATTTTACTTTTTGGTTTCCATGGTATTATTAAAAGCATAATTACAAGGACAAGTTGGTCTTAAAAAGGTACTAAAATTAACAGCTGCATTTGAACACATTTACTGTTTTAAACCTGTGGCTGTTTAGATATAGGATTAGAATGTGATATTTAAAGTATAAGAATCCATGTCAAGTGATCAACTCTGAATTATGTGTTTTGTGATTTGTGTAAAGTTGGTTGTGTTTGGTTTTTTTTCTCGCTTTGTTGTTTCAGATTTGTCCAATATGTGCAGCATTACCTGGAGGGGATCCTAATCATGTCACAGATGACTTTGCAGCTCATCTTACACTGGAACACAGAGCTCCTAGAGATTTAATATCCTTTCTTAAGTTGAGGGAAAAGGGATAGACTATTCCTTATAATAGCTGTAACTACTTGTTTTGACTTCTGTAGTCAAGTGGCTACATCACTTTTGCTTATTTTTTAGAATTGGTGTTTAGTTATAGGGGATCTGTATGTCTGAATTTTTTATATGTATATATATTTATATTTATCAGACTGTGAATGGGCTTTAGGTGTAGCTTGACAATGTGGGTGTGTGTTTTTGTTTTATTCCTGATAGCAAAACCTTTTAAAGATGTTTTTGACACCCAGCTGCTTCTTTCTGCACTGCAGTTTTTACCCTTCTTGGTCATTAGTTCTGATGCCATTTTGTGTACGGGAAAGCAGCAATCCAGATGCAATAGTGTATTATAGATAATTATGAGACTGAAAGCAGTAAATTTCACCAAAAGCAAATGTGTCAGAGAATGCTTTGAACTTTGAGTGATTTTAAGTGTTTGATTAGTTTTATCACTATATTTCAATAGGGTAATTTCAGCCTGTTATTTATTGACTTTTTTAAGATATAACTAGAAGAGCTATCAGGAGACTTCCTAGGGATTAGGGCTGTCTTTCAGTTATCTGAAGATTGTAGTGATATAACTACTCTCGATGACTGAAGAGCTCAAACTGTCAGTTTCTTTGCACTTTAAGTACAATTTTCTTCTGCGTTACTTGATCTTAGGAATAGTAATGTGGCTTGTTTTTTTGCTGTACAAATACCTACAACGTAATTTCAGAAGGTACTCTTACTTCATGGAAGTACAGGCCATCATGAAAAACTCAAGTTCATTATATCTACTGCTAGCAACATTAGAGGAAATGGTTTCACTTTGGTTGTGATCTGTATTTACATTTAAATTTGTTAGCATTTAAATTGTCAGTCCCAATTACATAGTGAAATTAACTTCCTATTGAAGTGGATGACGTGTTGGATTAGAATTCATGCTTCTGGAGCTTTTCCTCCCCCTCCCACATCAGTGATGTCAGATAACTTTTAATTGGGAAATGTGTGTTTATTACTAGCTACATAAGAGCTAGAGAAATTAGAATAATCTTTTCAGTTACTGAGTAAGGCAACAGTGTCAGTCATCATGAAACTGATGGGCTTTATAAATTGGACCATGTTATAAATAATTATTGAAAATGCATGTGGAAGTTTCTGTACAGCATTGCTTTAGCAATCAGTGTTACCAAGTCCACAAAACTTGATAGAGAAATTTTTTCTGCACTAGCTGTTCCATGTTGGGTGCTATTTCATGTCTTCTGACAGCTAAGACTAAAAGGAAGAAAAAGGGGGAGAGATTTCCCCTTGCCCAGTTGCTAGCAGTTTAGGAAACGATATTGTCTTTTGTGTAGCAGTTGGAAGGGTTTTTTAAGCTGTTTTAAATGGCTGCACATATTTCTTGTGAGGAATCCTGTGCAGCCACTACAAGATATACACCTTTATCCTTGGAGACTCTGGACAGCTCTTCAAATTACAGTTTCTTTCATAAACAATTTTCAACTGTTTTGCTGCTTAAAACATGACTTTAGTCTTGACCATGTAAATGGTTCTAGCTTGGTTGTTTTCAGTATATGTTTGCAATGAGTTAAGAGTTCCAAATGCTTTTCTAACCTCAGCATAGTTGGGTGAGACATCAATATACTCTTAACTAGTATTTAAATAATGTTGTTTATCTTAAAAGAACTTTGAAAGGTGCAGTTAGCAAGCTACTAAGATCCTTTTCTAAATGAGACCAAGGCTGCAATTTTTCAAAGGATTTATATTAAGGATATTCTAGTTATCTTATTTCCCAAGTTTACTTTAAAAAAAATCCCAGAATGGGGGCATTTTTTCTATAAGATGTAGCTATGGAAAGCTTCCCAAACTGCATGAGAGCAGTAGTCAATCAGTAAAATATTATTGACAATGTTCTGTCACTACCAGTATGCAGTATCAACAGATTCAAAGGAGGAACAAACCAATCTGTGCTAGACAACTATACTCTGTCCCAAGGGAGATTTTTTTCACCCCCTCCTAAACTCTGCAAGTGAAATGTTTTATAGAATCATAGAATCGTTAAGGTTGGAAAGGACCTCTGAGATCATCGAGTCCAACCTGTTAACCTAACTGCCTGGTCTACCTCTAAACCATGTCCCTAAGCACCACATCCACACGGTTTTTGAATACTTCAGGGACTGTTAATATCCAATCTAAATCTCCCCTGGCATAACTTGAGCCTATTTCCTCTTGTCCTACCACTTGTTACTTGGGAGAAGAGACCAACCCCCACCTCACTACAACCTCCTTTCAGGTAGCTGTAGAGAGCAATAAGGTCTCCCCTCAGCCTCCTGTACTCGAGACTAAACAACCCCAGCTCCCTCAGCCACTCCTCAAAAGACTTGTTCTCCAGACCCTTCACCAGCTTCATTGCCCTTCTTTGGACACACTCCAGCACCTGTCTGTCTTGTAGTGAGGGGCCCTAAACTGAACACAGTACTCGAGGTGCGACCTCACCAGTGCCGAGTACAGGGGCACTATCACCTCCCTGGTCCTGCTGGCCACACTATTCCTGATACAAGCCAGGATGCCGTTGGCCCTCTTGGTCACCTGAGCCCACTGCTGACTCATGTTCAGCCAGCTAGATTTGAAAGAGTCAATTCTTCCTGAAAGTATTTATTATAGTAACTGGATATTCTTACTTGCCAAAAGAAGTCTAATAATTTTTCAGTCTTAAATTTCTCAACTCAGTGATATCATGAGGAAATGAATTCTACACCATAATTGTACGTTGTGTGATAAGTACTTTGGGCACCAGTCTGATACAAATAATAGATTTTTATAGAAGTGATAAACATGCTATTTTTGGAAATAAGAAAATTGGAGATAAGGTGAGCTAAAACTACTAATTTAGAAATTGGAAAAATAAGATATGTCCAAGTACATTTTTTCCTACCTTAGTAGTTAATTGCACTAGTGCTTCTTAATATAAAAAGAAGCTTTAGCTAGACTGTCTTGGCAGAACTCATATGTTAACACTGTTCTGGGAAAGATCATCTTTAAATGATTTGCTGATAGTCTCTTAGTATGTATGAAAAAGCTTATATTTCAAGTCATAGCTTTTATAGACATCTCCTAAGAAATGTGGGAAATAAAGAAAGTGAAAGGGCTTGTTTTCATAATTGGAGCAAATGGAGTTTGTGTGGAGAAAGAGAGGGAAGATGAAGCAAAGGGGTGTGACAGAAGTGCTGAATCCTCTGTTGACCTGTAATTCCTTGAAGACTGCGGTGGGTGAAATTCTTTGGATAAAAGTATAAAATGCAATAATTACTGTGTGCTCTTGGTAAGAATGGCAATAAAACTTTGCAGATTATTTTCAGTATTTAAATACCCTTCTTTCCCAATTTTGATGTTAAAATCCTTATGTCTGTTATGTGTTCTGCTGAATATGAATCATCGGTTTAAATTACCTAGTAGAAAACTTTGATCCAGAAGGCAAGAAATCCATCCTGACATTTTTTTTAGACATGATAAAAAGCCTGGGAAAGATTAATTTGGTGCAAGCAGCCCTGGGTACCTTGGGTTCAGATCTATAGGTCTGACTGGCACCATAGCTATGATTGCATTACACTTATAAAGTTGAATTATTGTTTTATGAATGAGGAATAGTATGTTGCCTGATTATTCCACCTAGTAAATGTTCTTGCTGTTTAATACTTGATAGCAAAAGACTTTTCTTAACTGCTTGGTTACGATGAATCTAGTGGCGTTCGGCACGTACGTAGAATGTTTCACCCAGGCCGGGGTTTGGGAGGCCCCCGTGCA